AAATAAAAATGTCTGAGAAAGCAGATTTTTGTGTAGTGAAATAAAAGCTCGGTTGACAAGAGAAAAATAAGGAGACAGGTACAATAAGTTATTAACAGACTTGTCAGTGGGAACAGTGAGCGTCTGTACAATACATCAAGGAGACCCATCTACTTTCAATAAAAATATAAATTTCATATAGTTGTGGGTAAAGGTTTTCCACATTTTGCCCGGACATATATGACAAATTATATTATTAACAAAGTTGATTTGGATACCTGCAATTTAACACTGAAAAAAAGTTAACTTTGACCATTTAGTTAACATAAGTTTTACACACGCACGATAATCATACATGTCCAGTTGACCACAGTTCTGCATTGTTTAAGTTCTGGCTTGACGGTCTTGGTATCCTACATCATTGTTTAAGTATCTCATATGGCAAATATCCAACTATAATTAATCACATAATTCAGCTTTTATTAATTTTCCACTTATGTTGGTTAGATCAACAGTCACAGTAGTTAAAAAAGATATGCTGCTCAATCATCTCAATAACTGAAAGATAGGATTTAGGTACATGATTTTTTTCAAACCATGTTATGTGATTCTTCTCTTTATCACAATCAAGATTGTTGATGTACAGCTGTAGACCAGCCCTCAATTAGGAGTGTTGGGATCTCCCTGTCATGGTAAACCACGACATGGTAAAATGAAGACATAATTTTGACAAGGTAAGTTTCGAAAGGCTTTGACCAAGAAGAACTGGATTGAGAAGGTATGTTTACAAAGCTATAACAAGTGTGTAATAACAACTAAAGTTGAATATATGGCAATGACATCTCTTACTTGTGAACTTGCATGGATAAAACAATTCCTTCAAGAGCTCAAATTCTGTGAGATTCAAATCATGAAAATGTAATGTGATAATCAAGCTACACTTCACAATACCTCTAATTCAGTATTCCATAAGAGAATGAAACACATTGAGATTGACTATCATTTCGTTCGAAAAAAGTTGGTGAATAAGGAAAATTGTACGGAATTTATTAGATCTAATAATCAACTTGCAGATGTGTTGATAAAATCATTAAGAATTGAATTCATTTATTTCAAACTTGGTACATACAATCTGTATGCTCCTCAAAACTTGAGGGGGAGTGTTGGAATTATTAACCTATGAGTTATATCTATCTTTGTAACTAGGTTTCTAGATCAATTTTACTCCCTTGACTTTCCATCTACTCATCGTATTTGTACTCTATAATTGTAAATAAAGGGATCATATAAGAGGTGTGATTAAGCCCTCTAAAACATATCTATTTCTTCTTTTTTACTTTTAAGTGATTATAACTTGCCAATAGTAGGGAGGTTGGACCAAATGAAATCAAATTCTAAATGACTCAATATCAACTATTAAAAGTTGTTACAATCACATTTTCATGTTTCCATCGAAAGTGTGATATACTAGTGAGATGGTTTTATTTTTTGTTATATGTGAATATTAAGAAAATTCTATTCAAGTATTATAGTAATTGCAATTATCCTCAATGGATGTTTCTTCTATTATCAAAAGTCTGTCAAATGGTCATGCTTCTAACTCAGAATCACAGGTCATTGTCAATCCAAAAGCTTGTTACTTAATTATCATAGCCGCTGCATCGGAGTTTAAACACTAATGTCCTCAAAAATTTCATTGTGGTAAAGCATGATTTCAATCCCTTCATTCAAGTCAATTTTTAGAAAGTTAAGAATAGAAATAATAAAGTTATAGTGTCTTCACTTTAAACCAGCTTTGGAAGAAGTTCCAAGTGGGTGCTGCACAATTATGCAGCCAACAGATCACAGTTCTCCATAATTATGCAGATCAAGGTGCATGTATAAAAATACACCATGACCAGAACAAGAGCATGTGAGATTTACATGTATGCTTTTGATGTAATATTGTATTCCCTTGTACAGACCAGTGCATATATAATTATGTCGACTGCATTATCAAACAAGTTAAAATACTTATCAACTAAGCAAAAAATAAGTATATTTACCAACAGGATGATACTCACAGCAAAGTTGGAACAAGCATGATGACATTAAATTTGATACTCTGCTTCTATTTCTCTTTTAATTTTTTAACAAAAGGACAATTAACATGCTCATTCAAATAATCACTGGATTATAATGACAGTGTCAATCAGTGGGTTAAAGAATTGAAAATAAAACCAACTGCTAAACTCTACTGTCAAAATTGAAAACCATTCATCACGTTATGCATGTAAGTTCCTTTTCCTTATGATCATTGTAGCTTGAAATTACTGCTAAACTTTACTGTTAAAATTGAACACTGCTTACTTGTAGGTTCCTTTTCTTATGACCTTTGTAGCTTGAAATTATGCCAAGCACAAATTAAGCTAGAGTAAGCAGGTTCAAATTATCCATCAGATAATTAAAATAATGTTGTTATTTCATAGGATCTTAAGAGATCCATTTCCATTATTCCTATGAAATTTATGCCAAAATTTGCTGACTATTGGAACTATAATTGTGTGCTTTCAAAGGTAGATAAGAGGGTTCCTTAATATTTTTGATTGGCCAGAGAAAAAAGTTGACCCATTAAGAAAAGTAGCAGTTGGGTACAAAGATTTGTGCAAATCTGGAAGTTTCATCTGATCGCAGAAGCTACTCACCAACCACCTCGATGGCATTGAGCTCAAAGCCTTCACCATCTTCAGCAACAACACACTACATCCCAATAGTGGTGCACATGAGAGCCCAAAAACAGGAACACTTACACCAAAAAAGTAATTGGATTTTAGTTGGATGTAGCCATTCAGATTTGGGAGTTAAATAAGAGGGCATTTTTTGTTTTACACAAGTGGAGTAGGACAATTTCACTATTCAACTAAAAATTAAAACTGTTAGTTAATGCCATTTTCTCAAGGGGGTAAGTAAAAGCTACTCTTATTTTTTATTACAAAAAACTATCATAGAACAAAATTTGAAAAAACACGATAGGATAATGAATCCTCCTGGACAAAAGCACACAACAGAAAGCAACCAAGAAAGGGACATTCAATGGAACGGAGCTGCTCAATCCATCAACGCATCTTTTAATGAACCCCCATTAAGAATGCCATGTGCTTTATGCCAAATGAGCTGCACAAGCTTAACAATAAAACCAAATCAAGTGTGCCCTAAAAATATCATAAAAATATGAGATTTCTGCCCCAACCAAATGCACCACGTGCAGCATAGGTTGCCTGTTGCCACAATAAATGAGAGACTCTTTGGTTTCAGAAAACATTTGTACACACTTTTAATTAAAGGCCACCAATTTTCCACTTTGTTTCTTCTTTTCAAAAGTCAGTGAAAACAACTTTTTATTGTATTTTTTTTTTCAGTAATACAAACTTTTGAATTTGGAAACAGACCAAAAGCCAGAAAACGTAGTCATAAACCAAACACCCTGTTAGCTTCTTTATGTTGACCAAAACTTTGAAAGATTGAAAGCTAATTATCAAGAATTGATCCAGGAATCTAGTATTGATAAGCACCCAAGCATTTGGGCAACTCACCCCTTAAAAGCTAGCTATTAAGGGGGAGAATAAGTACTTAAACACTCCACTGACCATTTCATACCACTAAATGTGAGACTTAGGTGCCTTATAATTCCCAAGTTCCTATCATTATTAAGGGGGAAGAACCAAGCACTAAAATACTCCATTGAGCATCGCATACTACTCAATGTGGGATTTAACAACCCCAAAATATTCAAATCCCTATCAAGGACAAGCCCAACATTCACAATGTTTAAACTTGCTTATAAAATTAATCAATTTACTGGAAAAATTGTTGTGAACTTTGTGTAGAATCAAATCATGGGCCTAGAAATAGAATAATCCTTCTTGTGACCTATGGTGAAAGCAAGATGCAGACTTGTCTGTGACAGAACCCCCAAGACTATCACAAATTTCTGAAAATTATTTCATTGAAAATATTAAAATCAATTCAGCTGTCTGAAAAGGCTACAAAGATATCTCTAACAATTATCCTAATTGACAAAATAGAAATAAAGAGATCACTTAGGAATATAGGATCATATCTAACCATGAGCCTAATTAATAAAATAAGGACCAGAAATTTAGATTCTGGTATTCAGATCTTATTGGGATAGGAAAAGATAAGGAAACAAGATAGATTCAATTAAATCAAGACTTAAAAAAAGATATATGATAATCAAAATTAGTGGACCACATCAACAACATGAATGTTCCTTCCTGTCAACACCTATTGGAAATCCATTAGAATTCCCAACTAAAGACAATCCAACACTTGAAAAGGAGCAAAGAGTTCCAAGGAATCAACATCATTGCTTTTGTAAAGTAGCAGCTCCAACGAATGATTTAGGTTTAGCAAAGTCACAACATACATTGGAATGTAAGACAGCCACATGTTAGTTTACCATAACCAGGGTTGAAAAAGGTTAAAGTAAGGAATATAGGAAAAGACAAATGAAACAAGAGAACGAGTACCAAATGCGAGGTCAAAAATCTGTCAATCCACCCTCAAATTTGAAAAACAAAGTATAGTACTAAATATATACACTATAAAGCCCGGCTAATAATTTGGTTTTGTGCGACACTTATATCATATTATATCCTTAGTTTCTTACTATTATATCTTATTCAAATATACTTAGAAAGCATACTCTATATGTGTAGAATCCGCTGTAGGCAATATGGAGATCACGGTTATCGAATTGCAATATGAAGCTACATTGACAAGTACCATAGTGTAGGAATACTTCTTCGTTGTTAAGAAATGCAGACTAAAAAAACTAGAGAATGCGGAGCAACAACAACGGCCATGCTCATAAAATGTCAATGAAGATACGTTTAACTCAAAATCCAAAGCCAGCTACGAATGCTCATAAAATGTCAATAAAGATACATTTAACTCAAAATCCAAAGCCAGCTAGGAGTGAGTAAAACCTATACCTCTTTATTTATCCTCTATCTTGCAAATCACTCCGTAGGAAGCCCGCTGCAAATTTTCCCATCCTCCAAAAGCTGATTAATCGCAGTCTTAAGCCTCTGATAATCATCAGCACTATTATAAACTTGATGAGATATCCGGACATACCCAGTTATAAACCCATCCTTGTCCCTGGGATCCCTATCATCGTTCCTCATAGCCTGGTAATATACAGGAACTTCAATTGCATGATAGACCCTTAGGTACGACCTTAACCTCAAGGCATCATCATCACTTATCACACAAAGCTTAGAAGGCAACCCCACCATAATCATGCTAGCGCACATCTCAGGAGGCGACCCTAGAACAGTTCCCCAAGACTCTGCCAACATGGTCCCCATTTTCACTACCGCATCATGGTTCCTCTGCATGATCCCCTCAATCCCACCCTCAAACCGATTTACGAACTCCAAAATCGACGGCACAACAAGTTGGGGGCTATAGTCCCGCATCCCAACCCATGCACTCTCAATCGGCAACCCCTTCCCGTACTCCTGCGAAACGACAGGGTGATGCACGTCGTTTGAATTATCTTTACAATACAAAAACGCCACCGAAGGCGGAGAGAAAAACCACTTGTACAAATTGCTGACGTAAAAATCAGCCCCAATTTCCTTCACGTCCACGGGCAAGCTTCCAATGGCGTGAGCGCCGTCCACGAAAACCTGTTCCACTCCTTGCTCTCTGCAAACCTTAATCAACTGGCGAACGGGGAGAACCACCGAAGGCATCGACGTTATGTGATCGATTATCGCTAACCTAACTCTTCCGCCGTTGAGTTTACCTTTCTCGAGGCCTTTCTTGAACTCGGTTACGATTTCCTCGTCGGAACGGACCGGGAAGGGGAGCTGGACCTCGATGATGGTGCCGCCGATCGGAGTCACGTAGGCTTCGATAGACTTCTTCACGGCCTGGTAGGCGCACTGGAACATTATGACGGAGTCGTCTGGGCGAAAATGGCCGCGGACAAAGCGGCGGCCAATCTGCTGGAGGACGATGGCGGCGGCAGTGGTGGCGTTGTCGACGAGGGAGACGTGGTCGACGTGGGCGGCATTGATGAGGTCTGCGACGGCGGCTCGTGATTCTCGGATGCCGCCGCGAAGCACGTTAAAGAAGAAGTCGTCGGGCTGCTGGAGGAAGCGGAGCTGGCATCCGGACTGCGCGGCGAGGACGGAGCGCGGGCAGCTGCCGAAGCTGCCGTTGTTGATCCTGGCGACGCCGCGTTGATGGTGGGAAAATTCTTCGCGGATCTCGGAGTCGGAAATGGGGTGCGAGAGCTTGGGTTTCTTGGCGATGAGGTGGTTGGACTCGACGGCGCCGTTTCGGTGGGTTTCGTTGTCCATGGAGGGGTTCGGGGGATCAGGAAGAGTAGACATTGGAGGCCTTTAGGGAGAGTGTGAGGTTGGAGATAGCATAGCTGGGGTGAAGAAACAGGGAGTGGAGACCCGAGAGTGATGCGGTGAAATTGTCGTTAGTGTGTTCCTCTTTGCTCTTTTTATTGTTTTGCTTTTGACTTATCATATTGGTACACCGTTTTATATAAATTTTAAGAAAAAGAGAGTGTCAGAGCGTTTGCGTTTTGGTCTTCTTTGTTTCTACCTCGATCTTGGATGGGCCAATCCACACCCGTGGGGTTCTGTAATCTAGGCAACTTTTTCTTTTTCTTTTTTTTTTAGAATAATAAACCTTTTCCAGAAAACATAACAAAGGCCAAAAACCACCGTCTGATTTTATTCGGATTATATATATCAATTTATCAAACACGATCTCTAACTTCACCCGTTCAAATTTTGGTTACCTGAATCCCAATCCTCATAAGCTTGTCAGAAAATAGTTGGAAGTTTAACGTTTCTTTGTCCATTATTATTTTTAAATCTAATTTTTCAAAATTAAAATACTTGTTTGACAGTTTTTTAAAATATATTTTAAAAATTATTTCTATTTTCTATTTTAAAAACTAATTTTGATTACAGATATTTCTTTAGTTTTTTATTTTCATTAATGATATTTATTTTTATTATTAATTATATCACATCATTCATTTTTATCATCCTAAAATTATTTTTAAAATTTAACACTTTTTTCTCAATTTATTTTATCTTTTTTTTAAATCAGTTTTTAAGATAAAATTATTTTTTTAACTGGTTTTTAGAAATTATTTAATTTTTTAAAATTATTTTTAAAATTACTTTTAAAATAAAATTCAATCAAGTCCTTAATATAAAAGGACCTCAGTTCTAAACTGAAATTCTCTTTTAAAGCAATATTATTTTTCGAAAAAGCATTTGAAAAATTTAAATTAAAAATTTTATTAAAAAAATACAAAGGTAATTAGTTTATAAAATAAACATAAATTCATTATTATTAAAAAAATTAGTATTAATTAAAATAATTTTTGAAGTTTAAAATGTTTTATTTATTTATAATTACCAATAATTAAAATAATGTTAGTATAAATTAATAAATGTTAAACTAAGTTAGTAATTTAAATTATTAATAACAATGTTTGTTGGAAAAACAATAATAATAATAATAATAATAATCCCGATTTTGATTCTAACAATCAAACATAAACATAATCTCATACTTGATAAACATGTCATGAACTGAATGCGAAAGCGTACTCGAATTAGTCATAATGATGATGTCTTTGTAGAAGCATCTGTATTGATCTTATGGTCTTCCACCTGAAGAGCATCTGTATTTTCCTCTTGATTTTCTCTCTTGATGGGGAAAGAAAGAAAGGAACGAGACTGATACTTACGTTCTGTGTGTGCTCCCAGAAGGGGACCATGACCCTTTAGATAACCAGAATTAGGTTAATTACTTAAGTTTGAATATTTCCAATTTGGCCCCTCATCAAATTAGAAATTGTTCAATGGTCTTTTGATCGATGTCGTACTCGGTCAAATAATTAAAACAGATAAATGTAGTACTAGGAAGCTTTCCTAGGTCGTCTCCCAAAGACCACAAAATTCTATCAAAGTTTATCAATTTTTAGTAACTAAAAATTGAAATGGGAGTTTTTCAAAATTAAAATATTAGATGAAACAAAACAAAAATAGATTATAAAAATGCGGATTAAAAACAGATTAAAATGCAATTGATTTTCTGATTCTAATGCAGCGTCACTTATCCTAGATTACGAAATTAATTCGAAATTAACCGACTAAGCGAAGATAAATCCCAAATTATATTCTAATCCAAAATTAATCAACTAAGCGAAGATTAATCTCAAATTAGCTTTAACCCTTGTTCTAATATGAAATTAACCAACTAAGCGAAGATTAATCCCAAATTTTCCTTAACCCTTATTCCAACATGAAATTAACCAACTAAGCGAAGATTAACCCCAAATTATCCTTATACAATTAAGCATTGCATACATCACATAATCTCATATCTAACACGAAATTAAGCAAACTGTGATATAAGTTTCGGTTTATTAAGCATAAACAGATTATAATTCAATACTTGAGATTAGAAGATGAAGAGTTAAGAGAACAAACAATATGAAATTGAAGAACAAAACCTCAAAGATCTACTTGCATTCTTCTCGGAAAATCAATACAAAGATTTAGCTATCCATAGAAAGTTGAAAACGCAATAGAAGAAACATAATTAAAATTGAAACAAGAATTTAAAAATAATGACAGAAGAGTAACAAACTTGAATGTAAATTGCGAGAAGATGAAAGACGGAAGTGTGGTGGCTGCCTAGTCCTTGTGTGTTGTCTCCTCTTCGTGTGATGTGCCTCTCTTATATAAATAACCCTAACCCTAATCTTAATCGAGGTTTGGGCTCAACTAGTCCATGAAACACATCATAAATTGGCTTCGAGTGCAGGTCCATGAACTTCAAACACGTGCATTATTTTCAATACTTATCCAAATTAAGCGATTTTGGTCTCCAACGAAAGCCTCTTGAGTTAGCTTTAAAACGCCACCGTTTCTACTATTTTCGGAGCTTTAATGAATTTATGAGACTTAAATTACTGAAGCATGTCCATTGGGCCGGCCTGGTGCGCTTGACCCATTTTGGATAATTTATGTAAAATCCAATTTAGCTCCGAATTGAATGATTTTGGATCCTGTGGAAAGCTCAATGTGTCTAGTTTATAATTATTTTAGAATCATGTTATTTGGAGATCTGTAGAAAAAATGATAAACAAAACAATAAACTAATGTCAGTACCCGTATAAAATAAAATATGACATTTGGCCCAATTTTTCAAGTCCAAAATTGCTTTATGAGTAAAAATTAGATCAAATAGATTAAAATCTAAATTATTGGCCCAATGAAGCCCAATCAATGAAAATGCACTGATAATAGACAATTAAACACAATGCACCAATTAAGATAAGTATATAAAGATAAGAAAATGCGGGAAAATAATGACTAATCATCTTGACACAATTTTATTTTCATGACATATGTTTTTAGCCAAAACTTTAATTTAATCAGACCACTTTATTATTTGGCTTAATAAATAATGACCCTAACACATTTAAATTATGTATCATATATATACATGACCCAAATTTTGCTAACAATCTCCCACTGGTCACAAATATATATGTCCTTACAACCTTACAAATTTGTTAGACTTTATGAGCTCAAAATTGCCATTATATTCCTTTAGCATACTCCAAAAGTCCTGTTCATTAATCATATCAGGATATAGAACCAAACCAGTTTTTCATTGCATCATCGCAATTAAAACCAACAATGATTACTCATCCTAACATAACTAAATGACATGGATTCATCATGAAATGTGTAGCATGAAAAATTACGTGAAGGTGATTTGTACATGTCTATTTTCAACTGGTCCAAACTTTAACTTATCGAAATCGATATAATATCCTTAATGTATAAAGTGTAATGAATGAATGAAAAAACCGCATATCTATAAATAACCAAATATGTCTAAAAATCAATGTATACATATATGAAATTAAACATATAACATAAAATATATGAAAGTGACTAACTCCCACTAAACCACAAATTCCTCAAACTGTAAAACACCCATGTGAGCAACATGCTCATGAAAGACCTTGGGCGGAAGTCCTTTAGTTAGATGATATGTTATCATGGAGTTTGTCCTTAAGTGTTCTATGAAAATTTGTCCACTTTGTACTATTTCCTTAACAATACAGCTGATTTATTGTCACATTATAACTTAAGTGGTCTTTCAATGCCTTTCACAATTTGCAGCCCTGTGACAAAATTTCTCAGTCATATTCCATGATTTGATGTCTCATAGCATGCTACAAATTCTTGACATCCTGCAAAATCTGAGTTAGAAAACCCAGCGATCTCCAACTGGTCTGACCTCCTGTATGTGAGCATATAATCTTTTGTTCTCTTATATTATGACCCTTTTTGCTGCTTTTTAATGGTCTATTCCTGGATTACTTAAATATCTGCCTAGAACCCCAACTATATATGCTATGTCTGGATGCGTACATATTTGGGCATAGATCAAACTCCCTACAACTGATGCATAGGAAATCTTTTGCATTTCCTCAATTTCCAAATTCCCTTTGGGCACTGATTGAGACTAAACTTGTCTCCCTTTAAACTTGTGATACATACAATCATCAACAATATTCATCTTGAAGCCAAATGAGTTTCATACCTTCTGGTAATGGGACAAGTTCCCAATAACCTTATTGTCTTGCATGAACTTATACTTATCCTATTGCTTCAATCCACTTTTGAGAGTTAGAATCTTGTATAGCTTGACAGAAGTTAACTGGATCATCTTCCATTATATCATTATTTTCCTCATGTTCCTGAAGAAATACCATGTAATCATCCGAAATAGCACTTCTTCTTTCTCTAGTGGATCTCTGCAAAGTTATTAGCTCATGATGCACAGGTTCTTGAGGATCTTGAGTTTGTTCTTCATGAACAACCAAATCATCTTGAGTAAGGGGTTCATCAACAATGCCTTGTGGAGGTTCCGAACTTACTTTATCAAAAGTAACTATTTGAATCGGTTCTGAAATTGTTACCGATTCTTCCTCCAAGATGAAATTTTTAATCTTATTCTTCCCCCCAAACTCAATATCCTCAAAGAACGTAGCAGTTCCCGTCTCAAAAATTGTCTTTAATGTGGGATCATAAAATTTATATCCCCTGGATCTTTCAGCATAACCAATAATATAACCACTTACTGTTCGGGAGTCCAATTTCTTTTCATTTGACTTATAAGGTCTTGTCTCAGCTGGACAATCACACACATGGAAATGCTTCAGACTAAGTTGTCGCCCAATCCAAAGCTCATAAGGTGTTTTGGTTGCTGCTTTAGTTGATACTCTGTTTAGAATATAAGATGTCGTATTTAGTGTCTCTCCCCAAAGTGATTC